AATAGTCTGACACAGGAAAAATACTGATGAATGTCAGGCAGGTGGTCTTCAGGATTCTCCAACTCTCTGCTCATAGAACCCATAACCTCTTTGGAGCTGGGCATGGGAGGGGCTTACTTATCAAAGGAAATAACTCCTCATTGTCAAACTTCACCTTCAGTAAAGCAATCATAACATCACATTACAGTAAAGCTAGAATCAAGCATTTGGAATGCAGAACTCTGGATAAAAATCATTCAAGCCTTCCTTCCCTTCCCGTTTTCCTAGGGTTCGACTAATTCCTTGTCGCACTGTTGCTATCAAATTCACAGAGTGCTTCCCTTCTGCTAGACTCAGATATCCTTAGAGACTTTGAAAAAACTACAAATAGAAAATTTTTTTCTTTGGAGCTTAGTACACTTAAATATTGCATGACTACAAAAATGGAAGAAATTGCACATGGCAGAATCTAGGTATATCAGGTTGCACCATGAGAAGTACATTTATGTGAAGCCACCCAACACACAGAAAGCTCTATAGGTCTTTAAAGTTATAGACACTTCCCTCTGATGTTTTACATTCTATCTTAGAAAACGAGCAATTTACCTTGCAACATTTCGTGGTTGTCCAGACCCGTAGACTGAAAAAACAGGTCTACTAAGTGCTCAAGCTTTGAACTCAGAGAACCATGAATTGGAATCCTGGATGTACTTCTTACCAATAATCTTAGGAGAATTCCTTAACTGAGGTAAGCACATTTCCTCCTTCTTCCTGTGTAAAATAGGGATTCTATTGCTAGGAAGGATGTCTATATTAACTAAGAATGCACGTGACACATAGGAGAATAGGCAGTTAGTGCAAAGGGCAATTTTAATCAATAATGATAAAATGGGATAAGAAGCATAGATGTAGTAGGGAATTTTGGGAGTCCCAAACACTCAAGTTCTAATTTACCCGACATGGATGAAAAATAATAAGCAGAGGATCCTTAGTGTTGCTCTCCTTCCTCCTTCTTGAGCCGACCCTAGGATCCAGCCTGCTATAAAACCAAGGAAGTCAGAATTACATCTGTCCCTTTTGACCTTCAGGAACAGCGGAAGAGACTTTCAGACTTGGTTAAGCATCAGAGGAACCCAAAGAATGTATTGAATATTCAGATTTCCACTGGAGTTCCTGGTTCCAAATCATCTGGAACAAGACGAAAGACTCCACATTTGAAATCCAAGCACACACCCATATGCACATAAACACCCTAGGTAGTTCTGAGAAACCCTGCTAAGGTGGATAGATCAATAGGAAAGTAGAACTTTAGGTGTTCATTATAACAGAGTGCCAAATATATGTTTAATGGTGGCCAATCTTTTGTCTTCTTTAAGTCAACACAAGAATTTAATTTATATGAAAACACTCATTATGGTATGAGGAAAGCATGTGTGACTTGAAAGATCACAGATATGAGAGCCTTTTCCACTCAGAATTACTAAGAAATACCCAGAATAAACAGAAATATTGGAGAGAAAACCTCAAGGTGTTGTGCAAATTCCAACCATTTAGGGGAGCACGTTTATTGATCATTGAAAAGAAATACAACCATGTCACCATTCTGGAGCCTGTAAAAACCACTTTTTCTAGTAGCCATTAATTAGTCTACTTTGGAACCTCTCTCCTCCTTTTTTTTAAAAATTTTATTGAACACTAAATAACATCTTTATTTTTCACTAACAAAACTTAATTACACTGCAAAATATTCACACTTGAAAGCATAAGAACTATTGATAGAACTATCAATAACATCATCTTTAAAATTCAACACTCATTTTGAAAGATTTCAATAATGCTATATTAAAGTTCTATATTGTATTTCACTTGCAGAGTATCAATTAGGTGTCTCTATGCTTTCACAGTGGGAAGCTTTAGAGCAATGACACTCAAAGAGCATGTGATGTTTCATGTTGTATGATCACCGCCAACAGCATCACTTTAGAGCTCTAGTCAAACTTTTGTTTTTTTCTAAAGTTCATGGCTTGCAATTTTGTTTTGTTTTGTTTGGGGGTCCTACCTGGGGGTGCTCAGGGCTTACTCCTGGCTCTGAATTCAGAGATCACTCCAGGGAGGGATCTGGGGACTTGATGTTGTACCAGTTTGGATGCCAGCGAGGTAAGCCCTGTATCTGCTGCACAATCTTTTCGGCCCTGGATTGCAATTTTTAATAACTTTTAATGAAGTCAATTCCATTCAGATCACTTTCCAGAAATAATTCCTATAGTTTTTTTTTTTCATTGCCAATAAGCACTGTTACTAATTAGGCAATTACCTAACAAGTACCCATTCTTCTCAGAGATGGTGCAAAAAAGTCTTCAGAGGGCAATAAATAGAGATGGTCCCTAGAAATTCCCCTTCAGAGATGGAATTATAAACTGTCATTTGCTTTCATCTTAACGGAGCCCTGGGAAGCCATAATCTTTGAGGTTGAAACAGCATTTCGTATGTGGAATAGTCATTCATCAGTGATTCAGTGATAATAGGGTCTAGGTTTCTCTAGTAATAGAAGTAGAGTAAGTTACAAATCCACGCTTACCATTTATTTGCCCTTATGTTCGATGACTGAATTTCAACGCTACCTAGTTTATCACAACTTGCTCCTGAAGCCAGTAATCCCGACTCCTACACCGCAAAGGACTAAGCAAGGCATCGATTTCTTCAAAGTGCACCTCCACTTCCAGGGGCTTTATTGTCATCACTCACGTGTTTTTAAAAATCTAATTCTTTTCCATCTTTGGACCCTGCCTGTATTTTGGAGTTTCCTTCCTTCCCAAATATCCTGAATCCAAAGTATCTAAACTCATGGAGTAGTTGTCCAGAGGAAGAGAAGCAACAGCCCCGCCCCCAACCCTTGGGAGCAGAAAGGAAAGGAAATATAATATAGAATTGCTTAAAAGTCCAGGCGCAGCAAACAGAAATAAAACCATAGCTGCCTAGGTTGATGTCCCAGGGGTCCAAAATTCACCCCCAAACGGGCAATAATTTGTTTGGCATCAAACTAAATCAGTTTGATGAACTCAAATGCCCTCGGCTCAATAGGCAGGACTCTCTGAGGAGCCTGTGTTACTTCCCTCACTTAAGTGAAGATTTATAATAAAAACCTCAATGCCAGCGGCGTGGGTCTTGGACATATCAGAAGCTAACCACTTGGAGAATCATACTCGCGAGGTCAGAAAACTGCACGGCTCCAGATCAGTTTATAATTTACGAAGAAAATAGAAAGTTTTGTTTCTCCGAGTTGAAATTTGACGAGCACGGCGGGAAATATCGCCGGTTTTTCGCAGAAGCATCGCCGCTTTGCCCATCATTTGCGACCTGCGTGAAGCCCGAGGCTTCGGGGAGCCTTTGGGGAGCAAAACCGGGCCGCTGGGCGCAGCGGATTTTGATATTTTTGGCATTTTTTGAGGTGTAACAAACACAACTCGGGATCCGAGAGGACACTCTGCGGCTGCCAGCGAGGCGGGCTGGACAGCGCACCAATCACGGCGCAGCTCCGCCCTATATAAACGGGCGGGCGCAGCGGCGCGGCCCGAGTCCCGGCCAGTGCCTCGCTTCCGCCTCGACTTGCTCTGCCCGCACCCGCCGCCCGCCTTCGCCATGTCCGAGACTGCGCCCGCCGCGCCCGCCGCCCCGGCCCCCGCCGAGAAGGCGCCCGTGAAGAAGAAGGCCCGCAAGTCGGCCGGCGCCGCCAAGCGCAAGGCGTCCGGGCCCCCGGTGTCCGAGCTCATCACCAAGGCGGTGGCCGCGTCCAAGGAGCGCAGCGGCGTGTCCCTGGCCGCGCTCAAGAAGGCGCTGGCGGCCGCCGGCTACGACGTGGAGAAGAACAACAGCCGCATCAAGCTGGGGCTCAAGAGCCTGGTGAGCAAGGGCACCCTGGTGCAGACCAAGGGCACCGGCGCCTCGGGCTCTTTCAAGCTCAACAAGAAGGCGGCCTCCGGGGACGCCAAGCCCAAGGCCAAGAAGGCGGGCGCCGCCAAGGCCAAGAAGCCCGCCGGCGCGGCCAAGAAGCCCAAGAAGGCCTCGGGCTCCGCCACCCCCAAGAAGAGTGCGAAGAGGACCCCAAAGAAGGCCAAGAAGCCGGCCGCGGCGGCGGGAGCCAAGAAGGCCAAGAGCCCCAAGAAGGCCAAGGCAGCCCGGCCCAAGAAGGCCCCCAAGAGCCCAGCCAAGGCCAAAGCGGTGAAACCCAAGGCGGCTAAGCCCAAGACCGCCAAGCCCAAGGCGGCCAAGCCAAAGAAGGCGGCGGCCAAGAAGAAATAGGAAGTTGCTTTGGCCAACTGCTTAGAAGCCCAACACAACCCAAAGGCTCTTTTCAGAGCCACCCACCGATCTCGTGAAAAAGAGCTGTTGCACTTGGGGCGGGGGGCGTGGCTGGGAGGGAGACGCAAGCGAGGGGGGCGGCCTCCCCGGAGGAGGCGGGGCTGGGACGCGGCTGGGACCGCGGGCGGCGCTGGGCATCGGGAATCGGGGACGGTATTGCCGAGGGACGCTTGGGTGGCACGGGCAACGCTGTGCGTAAAAATGAAAGCGGGTGCTCTAAACTTGGTCTGGAAAGGGGCGTTTATAGGCTTAGTGTGTTCCATAAGCGATTGATGATGAGACTTGCTTGGTTAAACGGGTCTGAACGGAATCACTTCGGTGGGTTTTGGATCCGCTTAGAGGATCATGGGAAAAGTTGATTTATGCGCACAAAAGCTTAGCAAAACTTCCTGCTGCTAGTTGCTGTATTTGTGGGCGTAAAATAAAAGTTGTTCATCGTCCTCACAACCACTAGGTGTCCTCGGTGCTTGGCTTACAGGCAACGCACGGAAAGCAGGCGGCGAGCAGGGGCTCGGTGGACTCCGAACCCGCGCGCTCTTGGCACCCGCTGCTCTGCGGAGCGGCGAGCCTGCGTGCCCTGCACAATTTATAGTAGCGTTGGGGAGTTTACTCTGCGCCTTCTGATTGGGCCCCGCGACGTAACAAATTAGCCAATGGAAAGGTGGGCCTGCGAGTGTTATTTACCATTCCCCCTTGTGACGACACAGAAAAGTTAATCCAATCGTGAGTGAAATATTAGTCCCCGCATTTGAATACTGCGTCTATAAATAAACGTGGCCTGGCGCATGTTGCTTACCTTCCCGGTCCCTAGCGATCCTTTCTTCCAGCCACGATCATGCCTGAACCCACCAAGTCCGCCCCGGCCCCCAAGAAGGGCTCCAAGAAGGCCGTGACCAAGGCACAGAAGAAGGACGGCAAGAAGCGCAAGCGCAGCCGCAAGGAGAGCTACTCGGTGTACGTGTACAAGGTGCTCAAGCAGGTGCACCCCGACACGGGCATCTCGTCCAAGGCCATGGGCATCATGAACTCGTTCGTCAACGACATCTTCGAGCGCATCGCCGGCGAGGCGTCCCGCCTGGCGCACTACAACAAGCGCTCGACCATCACGTCGCGGGAGATCCAGACGGCCGTGCGCCTGCTGCTGCCCGGGGAGCTGGCCAAGCACGCCGTGTCCGAGGGCACCAAGGCCGTCACCAAGTACACCAGCTCCAAGTAGGTCCTCCTGCCTGCCACGTCTGCCAGTGAACCCAAAGGCTCTTTTCAGAGCCACGCATGCCTTCAGCAAACGAGTTGTAATCCTTCCATTTCAAAGACTGCTCTCGGATTTATCCCTGAATTTCACTCTTTGTACCGTTATCTCTGCGCAGGAAATAAATACTTTAAAAATCACCCGTGCAGTAACGAGTTGCGCGTCCGCTGGGCGAATGCATTTCTAAAGATCCAACAATGGCTGGGTTTCCAGGTTTGCAGTCTAGCTCTGGTTTCTCTCACAGGCACCCAAGGTAAATTCATTCTAATTTGCTAGCAACCATTCACGCTAAGACAATGTTTCCCCTTCCAAGTTTTGTTTTGCTTTTTCGTCTTTTTAATAAGAAAAAATGTACTGATGCCAAAAAGGTTCTGTGGAATTATTAACCAGTTTCCTCTGGCTGGCTTGCTTTGCCAGTTGATGTAATTTCTGCCTGATGCTCTGAGCAGCAAGGGGGGAGGAAAGCAAAGGAACTAGAAGCAGTCTCAGCCTTCAGCACCCCCCTGGACCCCTGTATATTGGCTCCCGTTAAAATACTACTTAATTTAGACTTGGCAGAATTCTGCTTTAAAGTCTAGGTCACAAGAAGGAAGCCCTGTTCAAATCTTGAGTCTATTCAAATATCAGTCTAACTGGCAAATAAAATACTAACTGGCAAATAAGATGTCATAAAATGTTATTTTTATGACATCTTATTGTCTCATTCCTACTTTGGACAAACTTGCAGGCTATCAAATGCAGCCTGCCCACAGGGCAGAGTCTGGCAAACTCCCCGTGGCGTACCAAATATGCCAAATACCAGTAACAATGATGGGTCTCATTCTCCTAAAGAGCCTTGAATATAATCTCAGGGCTAGGATGAAAGAGCCGTTACTGGGGCCTGCTCGAGGCAATCGATGAATAACAGGATGATGAAATGAAAAATGAAAAACTGGCAAATAAAATGGACATTCTTTGAAACAATTCTGGTCATTGCCTTTACCATTTTTATTATGCTGCTTAAATCACAAATCAAGTCATATAAATGGAGCAGACATTGCTTTTTATTTTTCTCCTTTTCATACAAATGGTTTGTTACTACATAGTTTTTTGTTTTGTTTTGTGGGTTTTTTTTTGGGGGGTCACACCCAGTGATGTACAGGGGCTACTCGTGGCTCATGCACTCAGGAATCACTCCTGGAGGTGCTCGGGGGACCATATGGGATGCTGGGGATTGAACCCGGGTCGGCCGTGTGCAAGGCAAACGCCCTGGCTGCTGTGCTATCACTCCTGCCCCTGTACTACATAGTTTAAACTTGTCAGGCACCAGGCACGTGTGGGTGAGTAGAAGATGCATGTTTATGGTTTGCATTGTTGCTGGAGCTTCTTTGAACTCTATTCTTTAAGTTTTGGGTTTGGGGCATCAGATAAAATTATGTGCCTTTTTTTCTTTAATCTGTTGGAATGAAATATGTTGAGGCATTCTGCCATTCCTAGATCAGATCTTATTTTATCATGTTGTATTTTTACATTAAATGATAGCTGGGTACATATGACTATTACAACAGAACTTTTTTTCCATCTTCATTCATATATAAAAGCATCCTTTGGGACAGGGGAGATGGCTCAAAGGACTGGCATAGATGCAGGAAGCCCAGAGTCCATCCCTAGCACCTTTCAGTGTCCCAACCACAATCAGAAACTGATCCCTGAGAGAGAACAAAAGGGAATGCCCTGGTGCAGACCAAGGGCACTAGCGCCTCGGGCTCCTTCAAGCTCAACAAGAAGGCGGCCTCCGGGGACGCCAAGTCCAGGGCCAAGAAGGCGGGTGCCGCCAAGGCCAAGAAGCCCTCCAGCGTGGTCAAGAAGCCCAAGAAGGCCTTGGGGTCCACCACCCCCAAAAGGGAATGCCCTGCCACAGAGGCGGGGTGGGGTGGAGGGGACGGGATGGGGGTGGTGGGAGGGATGCTGGGACCATTGGTGGTGGAAAATGGGCACTGGTGGAGGGATGGGTACTCCAGCATTGTATGATTGAAACGCAAGCACGAAAGTTTGTAAGTCTGTAACTGTACCCCACTGTGATTCACTAATAAAAAATTTGAAAAAGAAAAAAAAGGAACTGATCCCTGAGCACTGCCAGGTGTGGCCCCAAAAGCAAAATATCCTTTGATTTGGGGGTGGGGTGATTTTGTTAAATCAGTTTATTTCACTACTGTTGGCCAGGAAATTCCAGGTTGTTTCATTTAAAATTTCATTTTTGAGAAAGACTACAACAGCAGTTAGTGTTAAGCCATGATGGGACTCGACATGAATGACTCCATTCTTACCCTGTGGCTTCTTTTCTTTTTTGATTTGGGGGCCACACCAGGTGGTGCCCAGGGCTTACTCCTAGCTCTGTGCTCAGGAATCATTCTTGGCGGTGCTCGGGGGCCCATATGTAGTGCCAAGAATCAAACCCAGGTCAGCCACGTGCAAGGCAAGTGACCAACCCACTGTATTATCACTCCGGCCCCCAACCTGGCATTTCTTTTTCAAACAACTTTATCAGATTTTGTAAGATTATGGTAACTTCAAATTTTATTTGTGAGATTCATCCTCAATTATCTATTGTTGTGAAATTAAGTATTCCAAAGTTGGACAGTTTAAATCAACGACGATTTATTACTCCCATTTCATTTTTGTGGGTCAGGAATGTGATTTAACTGATCAGTAATGACTCCAGTTCTCTCATCAAATTAAACTTGTACGGGACACAGAGGGAAATTGCCAAGCCCCTCTAGATTCTTCAAGGTCTAATCAAGCAAATAAATTAACAACAGAAATAACAGTAGAAGAAAAAAAAAAAGTAAATGACACACATATGGAGAATTTGCCTGACTGTAAATTCTAGAGGAAATGGCACAAAATAGGGATTTATACTCTGAGTTAAGAATGACATCAGGTCCAGGGTCATCTAAAAGAGAGGAAGAGATATTAGATAAAGAGAAGATGGCTTTATGCAGCAGGACTTTCCCTTTAGATGTTTGTGTTGCCTAAAGATGTGTTTATCCAGTATTGCTGCTCTCTTAGAGTTTGTTTGTCTAGCAGGTTTTCCAGTTGCTACCAGAAAGTTCCATAACCACCCCCCCCAAAAAAAATTGTGTTTGTCCAATAAAGAGGTTGTGCCTGACCCTATATCTAAGTTACTTTCATTCTTTAAGTTACTCTCAGATCCACAGCACCTGCTTTGACTTTAACTTCACATGTCAAGGTATGCCACATACTAGAAACTTGATCACTTGATCACTTGACTTCCCGTTAGTCGTCGATTTGCTCGAGTGGGCGCCAGTAACGTGAACGATCAGTTTGAGGCTCTTCGTGTTCCTAGAGTGAACAGACGCCATTGCGCTACACATACTAGAAAAGACCTCTGGAATCTTAGGGGCATCATCGAAAAAAGCCTATCTGAAGTTGGTTTTTTTTTTTTTGGAGAGGCCAATCTAGCAAATGCTAGATGCTGCAGTCCTGTGAAGACGTGGGGACGTGGGTTCATCTGAACTTCAGACAAGTTTCTGTTGGTAGTTTGCAGGAGAACCTAACTCAATTCCTAACCATGTAGATCTCTCCAGTAGACTAACTGTATTTCCAAACCTGACTATTGTCAGCAAGAAAGAGAAACTATAAAAAGAAAGAGTGGGAGGAATTAGCCATCATGTCTTTTGTGACCAAATTTGAACTTTTATGAACCATATGTCATCACATCTGCTACTTCATTCATTCGAAGCAAGTCATTTAGCATTACTTTATATTCAGGAGGGGAAGCAGACTCCACCTTAGATTAAAAAAAGAAGAAGAAATCTTTGGATATTTTAAACAAATGTCTTTCTAATGCTTTTAGTATTTTGGGTTTGCAATGTATTTAATGTATAGATGAACATTAGATAAAATCAGGGTCTTCAACTCGGCTTTAAAAGAGAGCACTTGCCTTGCAAGTGTGAAGCCTTGGTTTGATCCTTGGCACACTACCCCCACCCTCCCACCCCCTCAAAAAAAAAAGATTAATGAGAATTAGAAGCCAGTCACCTAGACCTAATACCTTTATAATTAATAGATCTTTAAGAACTCCTGAGACTGGCTATAACTAACCAGTCCCCACAATGAAGATTAATCCAGAGATCAATTTTGAGATTGTGAAGAATAATACAGTGGTTTCAGCAATTAGAAATAACACATCCCAGGGGGCTGGAGCGATAGCACAGCTGGTAGGGTGTTTGCCTTGCAGGCAGCCAACATGACCGACACAGATTCGTTTCCCAGCATCCCATACGGTCCCCTGAGCACCGCCAGGAACAATTCCTGAATGCATGAGACAGGAGTAACCCCTGAGCATCGCCGGGTGTGACCCAAAAAGAAAAAAAAAAACAGAATAACATACCCCAGCAATACTTTGAAAACTATTCAATAATATTAATTAAGTTGAGAAAGCCTGAATTATAATCTGAAAAGCAAATCACTATCATGTGACTTCTTGTTGGCCTGCCCAACAAACTGATAGGTTTTGCTTTTTAAGTAAAATTAAGTAAAAGAGAAATTAAATACAACAAAAGCTGTAAATCCTAGAAAATACTGTGGCATATGAAAGTTTTAAGAGCCAGGAATAAAATGTAATACTTAATGAGATTTAAAACCAGGCAAGTGGACAAGAGCAATAGTGCCCAGGTTTAATCCCTGGCTTTCCCTGAGTACCACCAGGAGTAATTTCTGAGCTCAGAGCCAGGAGTAACCCTTGAGCACTGCCAATTATGGCCCAAAAAATAAATAAATAAATAAATAAATAAAATTAGGCAAGCACTAAAGCTAATGCTAATTATTTAAAATATAGCATTTAAGTTTGATGATGAAATAATGATACATATTTAATGCATAAGGTTCATGTACAGAGTAAGAATTAACTGAGGGAATTAAAAGAAAAATGTAAACAAGAATTTAGTATTAAAGTCTTATAAAGCCACTCTTTTGTTGTTGATTGTTTTTTTGAGCTATACCAGGTGGTCCTGGGGTTAGATTGGTGAGTATTCCAGACTGCGATCTGTTAAACCCAGGCCTACACTACAGCCCTCTGCG